TTCCAAACATAAAGAAACAAATCTCTACTTCCTCTGCTTAGGGGGTTAATTTTTCTTGTGCCAGCATCAACACTCCCACTTAGCTTGTTTATTTTTCTATTTATGCAACGAGACTCTCCTTTGCTGAGTCACTTCAAAATGTTTAAACAGGCTGGAGAGGTGCTGTCCTGGGTGCTTTGTTTTAAGAGCTAAAATTAATATCCTTGGAAGTATTCCTGGAAATCATAATCTATGCATCTATATTTCATCTGAGACCAGGCAGTTATGTTGCCTTTAAATCAGCTTTGGATCTAATTTCATCTATTTTAATGTAATGGTCTAGAGGGTGTGCCTGCCAGCTCCAAATTTCTCCCAGATATATATTCAGTTTACAAATCATATCTTTCTCTAGAAAAATATGATTATGCCTATTTTAGGTCTCCTTCTCTATTACCACCAGCACTCACTGAGTTTCTGTGTCAGGTTTTTTATCTAAGTTTCAGCTAATGCCAGCTCTGAAGGATGATTTCACTCACATGTTCCTGTTGTACCCTAAGTTCTGCTAAGAGCTGGCTGGAGCAGAGAAAACTCAGGAGCAGTGGAGGGTACTTTTTCTTTCCTTGGGGATGCACTGAGCACAGTCAGGGAAAGACCATTCTGGAGTCCACAAGGAATTAGAATGATTTGCAAGAGCAAATTAGGACTCTGCAAGGGGATGGTGGAATGATTCTCACAGGGGTGGGAAGGGACTAGGCAGAATTTGGTTTAATTCAGTGGAAATGAGAAGAATACCAGACAGGCAAAGCTGTTTATGGATCCTTGTTTCTTATTTATTTGTCTTGCCCAACATGTCCAGATTTAAAATGTAAACTATGTTGGCCTATAACTCAGTATCTAGGAAAGCCCTTTTTATTCAAAAGCAGCTCCTGCAAGATAGAAAATCTTTTCATCTCTCTGAGAGGAGATAAAGGGTATCCACCAAAAGAAAAATGTCTGCATAAACCCACTCCTACTCTCAGGACAATTTGTGGTCCCGTAGCTCTGGCCTTTTATAAAGCTACATGGTACTTTTTATCTCCTTGTATGAATGGCAGAGCCATCTCTGCTACTCAAATACTGAGCTCAATTTTTGTCCTACCATCAAAATACAGAAAACTTCTAGGGTCCAACTTTGTGTGTCCTGGTGTAAAAAAAAGAAAAATGCACTTCCTCATTGTTCTTCCTGCAGCTGCCCAGATTGACTCAGGTGTGTTTCAGTAAGGCTTTCTCATTTTATTCTGCCATGTTTCTGAGCCTGTTTCCTATGTGGGTATGTTTTAGAAATGTATCTTAGTAGAAATTATTCTTTTTAAAGTATGACTTAATCTCAACTTCTAACATTTAAAATTATGGCAACTTTAGAAAAGTAGATCTGATAAATATTTGCCTAAATCCTTCACTATTGTGAAGGATCTTGGTTGCTTCTTCTTCGTCTATTGAAACAAAAACATCAATTATCTCTTCAAACTTGTGCTCTAAATGGATGCATTGTTGTATTAAAATTTTTCCTGGTTACATTATTTCTTGAGAAGAGAATTTTTGTCTGTGTTCATTTTTAGGCACTTCACGTATTTGTCTGGTTCTGCTGCATAATTTTTTCCTCCTGAAAAATGCTAAAAGCAAACCTGTATGGGGTGTTCTGCTTTACATGAAATCAGCAGAATCCAGTGGCTCCTGTACTCATCCAAAGATATTCCTCACAGACAAGGTGCTTTGATTCAATGGAATCTTCCAAACCAGCCAATGCTTTGCAAGTTATTCCTTTCTGAATTTAAGTTCTTTACAGGTCTCTTATTTGGCATAGGGAATCCCTAAATTGCAGATAAACTTCTTGAGGTGCTTTCCTTGTTTTCTGAGAATTTTGACTCCTGCTTTGAGCAGATTTTGCAGATAATATGTGGTGCTCAGGAATCCCTCAGAGCCCCAGAGCCGAGCACAGCTCCATGGATTGTCTGCTTCCACCTGATTAGAATTAACAAATACCACTTCTAAGCTTATTGGATGTATTTTGTTTCCCTGGATGAAGCCTCTTAACAGAGGAGTTTCCCCAGAAGAGCTGTACTTCTGTGAAAGTGTCAGTGTGACTCGGTGTGCTCCTTTCCTACTAAAAAGAAGCTCGTGATTTTTCTTATCCTTTTGTCTTACTGTCTCTTTCCCTGGGCATTTATCTGGAGCAGGATAGATGGAAAAGCTTTCAAAGGCAGACAGGAGGTTGCTCAGCAGGTGTTCTGAAGAGCAGGGTGTTCGCTGCTGGGCACGAGGGGAAGCTGCAGCAGTGAGAGGAACAGGCACTGCCAAAGAGGGACTTCAGCTTTTCCCAGCTTTGACCTGCTGTATTCCACTTGCTGAAGCCTCTGCAGCTTCTCCTGCCTTTTCCAAGAAAGCAGCCATGGAGCAGGAGTTGGAGAGTGCAGGAACATTCACAACATTCTCCAGTTTTTCTTTCTTCTCTCTTTCCCCTCTTCCACCCTCCTTCCCTTCCATCACCCTCTATCTTTTCTTCTCTTTCCCTTTCTTTTCCTCTCCTATCTTCCTCTCTTTCTTTCTGACTTTAGTTTAATACCTATGGCTTATGCACTCGATGTCACACTGTATTAGGAGTGGCAAAAGTAACAACACAGACTCTCTTCTGGGTTGCACAAGAGAGCAAGTTTTATTATTCCAGATCTTTTATAGACAGGTCTGAGGAGGTCTGAGAGGTAAAACTGTCATTGGTCATTAAACCAACACATCACCATCACTGGACAATTGGGAGCAATACCCCCTGACTTTTTCTTGCAAGTAAACAAGGATCCAAGCAACACCTGCAGAGGTTGTTTTCCCTCTCCAAGGACTGTGTGGATTCCTCCTTATGATTTCCCAGGCCACACTTCTTGGGCCAGTCTGACAAAGTTATGTGACTTGGTTTCACACAGGCTCGAGCTAACTAATGCCTGAAACCTAAAAATCTCTTATTTGACCATTGTCAGTTCCCACACTCTGAAGCTTCAGGATATGCAAGTCCTGCTCATCTCTGAAAGAGAGCAGAGGGAATAGCACCAGATCAGAGCTTTGTGCTGCAGCAGGTGAAGGTGTCAAACAGGTGTGGAAGTCTGGTCTAGCACAAGTGATTGGGTGTGACAGAGCCCATTTGAGCAGTAATTAGCAGCTGGAATTAACCCATACTGTGTGCTGGTGGCACTTAATATTTGAAATGTGGTATCACCACCCCTGGAAAGGTTCAAAACCATGTAGATGTGGCCATAGGGTTTAGCAGGGAACATGGCAAAGCTGGGGGACTGGCTGGACTTGATGATCTTGGAGGTCTTTTCCGAGCTCAGTGGCTCTCTGAGTGCTGTGGTTTCCTGGGTAGCTGGCTTGGGGCATGGAGATGTTGGAGCCTCTGCCAGCAGGGCAGTTAATTAGATTGTGTGATTGCCTTGAAGCAGCCTCACGTTGTGGAGCTCTTGCTCATTCATCTGGCTGGAAATTCCCTTTCAGAAACAAACAGAAGGGTGTCTTGGACTTAAAGGAAATCTTGCTGTGCTTCCTTCCTATGAAGAAGTCCAAACTGGCACTGTATTTTTCACTTTGATGTGTGAATATAAAACAAACTTCTCCCCATTTGTTCTCCCCATTTGCTTAGCAGATCTATAGCTGAAAAATAAACCCACATGTGCCATTCACATTATCATGAAAAGTACCAAGAAGTCCAACTAATTCAGTAATTTTTCCCCCTTTAATTTTTTTTCCTCACTGGAATACTTTTTGGTTTTTTTTTTTCTAATTTGGAAATATCCTGCTAATTGCAATTGCTCTGCAACAGTTTTCCTCAGAGTGTGTGTGCACACTGAGAGAACAATTCTGTTGTTTCTGCCCAGCCTGAGGTGCACTTGCAGAGCCCTGCCCTGCGAGCAGGTGCTGCTCAAAGTCACCTCAATTTGTGGTGTGTTTCCTCAGGAGCGGCACAATCACAGTCAGCAGCTGGCTGTACTCAAGAATTTCCTGGTGGAATCACTCAGTTTAGGTTTGATTCGTGTTCTGGCTGTGCCTCCAGCATTTCCTTTGGAAAAATACTATGTACCTGGCTTACCTAAAATTTCTGCCAGGAGTTTGAATGTTGGGTTTCACAGCAGTGGCACACACAGCCCACAGCCACTGTGGGAAGGTCAGGTCCAAGCATCACTGCCTCCTGCTCTAGGTTTTTCACAGCACCAAGCTTTCATGCTATTACAATGTTTTGTTCTCAGTCTCATACTGTGACTGTCCCTCTGTACTGGTGAATTTATAATGTGAGAATGTCATTTCAGGTTTGAAGGAAGTTTTGTGGGACAGGTGTTGATCTAATAGAGTTGGTGGGTTTGCTAAGTGGGGAAAAGTGATTTTAGGAATTTAGCAGTGCAGCAGTTGGATCAAACATAATTTTGCAATTTTCTATGTCTTTACCATGAAAAAGCCTGTTATTCTGTCTGTGACACAGCTACACAGTGAAGTGTGGTTTACAAAAGAGAAACAAAAAGCCCAGGAAAAATGCAGCATGTCCAATACATGATTAAATACTTCCCGATATAAACTTTGGCTTGCTGTCAAAGTTAATTTAGAAAATCTTTCTTTGAGGAATATATTTTCCTTTTACAACACTTTTATGATATTTGATCAGGATTAACTTGCTGTGTATTCTCTTCATGGCAATGATTTATATATTTTATTTATGCCCAGTTTGGGGATCTGAGATCAAAGCACATTTTCCATGCATTTTGTTTTCTTTAAATAGAGTTTTCTTAGACCAAACACCTACCAGATTTGCAAGAGGAATTTTCACAGCCAACCTGATTTATCTTCCTTGATTTTTTCATGTTTCTGCAATTCACAATGTATACTATGTAAGTATTTATTGAAAATTAGTTATGCTTTAGAATAGGAAGTTTTACTTTGAGACTTTATCGTGACTAAACTGATCTAATTGATCCATTGTTCCTAACAATGACTGCTTCTCATGCTAGGTTTTCCTGTGTGCTGTCAAGATTTTGATTTAGGACAGGATACAAACTGAGAGTTTTCAGCTGTAGTATTGGAAACCAGAGACATATCTGAGATTATCCACATAGTCTGAATCCCAGCCCAGAGAGGTGAGTTTTTTGCTTCTCGCTCTTTCCTTTCCCTCACCCAGTAATATACTCAATTTTCCTTTTTCATCTTCTCCACTTTGAGTGTGTCTTTTTGAAAGCTTTATTGATTGGTGTGATTGAACTAGAAACTCCAGAAAATTAATGATAATGAGGAAAATCTTTTTAAAATGTAGGGTCATGATACATACAGAGGCAAAAAGTTGTTATCCTCCTGTGTCTGCCTATGTCTGCCTAACAACACTGAGTTTCCCTGCATGAGACACAGCCATCTGCCTCTCTGCTTTCCCTGGTTCTAATGGAAACTTTATAAACAAACAGCAAACACTTTCCCATGCTATTTATTTTTCTGTCATGACAGGAAATAGGACAAACATACTGCAGCACAACTTTTCCACGGCTTTGCATATCAAATGCACAAATACAGGATCACCTGACCAAAGTGATCCCTTGCCTACCTGCCTGGAAAGGCATTTGGTAATGTTAAAATTTGATAGTGTTAAACCTTGATAGAGTTAAACCTTGCAAGTGGTTTTTCATTGGTGCTTCCAGTGTTGTGGCACAGTGATGGTGAGCACATCAATGAAAGTACTTGGTCCAAAAAACAGGGTGTACAGAAGGCAGAAACCTCATATGGTTTTTTTTGAAGGCAAATTGTTTAGGGAATATATCAAATTATATTTTTTCTCTGAAATGTCTCAGCACCTTCACGAAGATAACAGCACTGCACAACTTCAAGTGCAGTTTGACTTCTTGACAGAAAAATCAAACTCACTGCTGAAGACCATTTCTTTCTTAAAAAATTGCGTGCATGAATCATTAGCACCTTTAACAGGATGGAAGATCTCCAAGTCTGGTTTGGTCAATAACTCTCAGCTTCCAACAGGGAACTGCAGCAATTCTTTCAGGGTTTTGGCACGTGTCTCATAAAACTGATGAGCTTGTTCACAGACACTCTCACTTTACAGTGAGACATATGGTATGTTTTGTGTTTGTGAGTTTCTTTGATATTGTCTCTCTGGCACAACTTAATGTTCTTCCAGTTTTGTTTGGAGAAGAAGAGAATTTCTCAGTTAAAGTGCACCAAGTGCATTTTAGGAAATCATTTTTGGTTAAGAAGGCAGTAAGGGAGATCACAAGGTGCAGTATTTCTTTTGGCGCTTTTAATGGATGGTTACATTTTTGGGGTACTTCCAGTGAAGAATCCAGACAATAAATATATGTATTTAAACATATCCATCCATTTTATGTGCAGCATGCTGCAGAATACTTGCAGGAGAACTTTCAGTTCTTCTCAAAGGTTGAGGTTCTATTTTCTCAGCTTATCTCCTGGCAATAATTCCATTCCTTAATCATACCCTGAAATGCTGAGATTCTTATGAAGATATCAACCCATTGCTGCATTTATTTTAACCCTGTGGTGTGGGCCTGAAAATGCAGGCCAGCAGTTAACATCTTCTGTGTGATAATACAGATGTTCTTATTTCCTTGTGTTATGATATATTCCATATATTTTCATTTGTCTCCGTGTTTTCTTGTCACTCCATTGTGGAAGACAGCTTTGGAATTCTTTACAGTATTCCCAAAATTTACCTCCTTCTGGAAAGTATTAAATTTCCTGAGAACTTTAATTCTGGAGGGGGGAAGAGGGGGCAGAATTGAATGTTTTGAAAAATAACCAGTGAAGAACCATTCCTTTGTGAGGTGAAGACTAGCCCAGCACTCCAAGGGATCTAAGGTTTCAGGGGAAGTTTAAAAAAAAAAGCCTCTCTGCTGAGGGAGAGTTAATTTCATGATTTTCCCTTGGCTGAAGTGAAAATACATACACTTCACTTGGTGTTCTCTCTTTGCCTAAAGAAAAAGTCATAAAGGGTGAACTGTATAGTTACTCTTTATATAAAAACTTCCTTAAAGAAAATAGCAAAACAGCAAGTGGCAATTGCCCTGTTTCTGTGTTGTCACTGCAGTGATCAGGCAGCAATAAAATCCTTCTTCTGTCGTCCTTATTGTCATCTGCTGATGGGAAGGTCCTGTTGAGGCTGCTGAACATCCCTTTTAATAGGAGCCTGCAGTCTTTTAGACCCAAGTCATAGGCTATGTAGGAAACAAAAGAAATATTGGGGAGAATAATAGAAAATGTTTCGGGACTTGCCCACATTTTTAGTAAAATCTGACTTATGAGCATGGAAATACCTATTTTTTTAAATTTAATTTAATGTCTTTGAGAATGTTAAATATAATACAAGGAAAGATAATCTTTAGAGATAAATAAAAGCAGTGCTTTGCTACAGGTCTTGTATGAAAGCTATTGACCTTCCACTCTATGAAATCACATTACCTGTTCTCTCTTTGCACTTTTTTACAAAGTACAGGAACGTGTACAGGTGTAAAAGGAGATTAAACATGCAGATGATCTCATGACTGATGGATGTATCATCAGTTCTGTGAGTTGTAAGGACATTTCCCCATTTGGACAATTTTTGGAATGTGGCTTGTGTCCTATAGTTTCAAAACTGAAACACAAGTGCCCCTGGGAACAGGGCTGGTTAGGCTGAGAGGCTCCAGGTCAAACACAGCAGTTCTGAAATAAGTGTCAGTGGAATGATGACATGGAAATGAAATAAGTGTCAGTGGAATGATGACATGGAAATGAAATAAGTGTCAGTGGAATGATGACATGGAAATGATCAGCGAAGGGAGGGATGGAAGCAGTGTTGTACAGTGTAGGACAGTGAACAGCTCCTGACAACCTTTCTGTCTGCTGGACTGTTTTGGAGGGTGAGGATCCCAACCATCCTTGGGAAGTGTTCCCTTGAGTGCAGCCCAGCTTTAAGCATCTGGGAGATGGTGGCAGTGGTGTTCACCCCCCAGGTGCTGGCAGCTGACCCAAAGAGGATCAAGAGTGCCCCTTAGCACAGGCTGGTGCCCAATTCCTTGTGCTCCTGAGCACCCTTTGCCACCCACTGCTGCTTCCAGAGCCCACTGTAGTGTGAAATGGTTCCTCTGGGTTATGCACAGGGATAGCCAAAAGCTGATTAAAGACTCCAAAGAGACTGGTGAAGACAGGTCTTGCGTGTCTTTATTAGCATAAAAATTGATAGTAAATGAGACTGTCACTTCCATCTAGTCTGAAAAATCTATACTTCCTGGGCCATCAGCCAGGGGCTCTTGGATCTCAGAATAACTTTGTAATTTGATGTACAATAGGCCCTGTGCTAATAGGTGCTGCTAGACTGCTTTTCTAATGAAAAGAGAGTGCCTTTCCCTACCTGTTACCTTGGCTCTGCCAGACCTCAGCATGGTAAGGAAAACTGGCTAGACCAGCATTATACAATCCCAGCCCAGAAGACATTTTAGGTGTTAAAAAATCCCTAGAAATACAGAATTCAGGATTGAGATTTTTTTTTTTCTTGTTGGTGTTTTGTTTTTCCTTTAAATAATGCCTTCAGTTAATGCAGACTCTCATTTTCATTTACATAAAGCAAGTTTATCTAATATAAGAAATTATTCCTCATAAAGTATAAAGTAAACTCTGAATTTGGAATTATTCTTTTGAATCAGTAAATTGTCTCCCTTAGGTTTTACTAAATTAAGGAATGTTTTTTTTTAATATTATTCCCTTTTGTATGGTGTTTTCTCCCCCACACCCAGTCATAAATAATATTAGTTGCAGTTTAGAACAGTGTCTCTATATGAAGCTAATTAGAGTAATTTGTAATGAATGAAATCAGATGTTCTCCATATTAAGACTAGAACTGAGCAACAGGATTTTAAAGAATTTTTAATAAAACTAGCTTTAAATGCAGTCAGATTAATTCTGGGATGAATTTCCTTAGGAGCCAGCTTGTCATGGACAAGGAATTAGCTTCACAAACTGGAATTAAAGCCTAGTTCAATTTTGACATAGGTAGGTGTAGTAAAGAGGAGGAAACAATACCTCAGATCCCACTGGTAAAAATGCAGCTCTGAAAGCTTTGGGGTTTTGGGCTTTTGGTTCTCTTATGAGGAAATATTTAAAGTTTGACCAAAGTATGATTCTGTGGTCACTAAGTGGTGTATGTTTTAGGTACCTGGCTTTCATTATTCTGTTTAAAACACCCTAAAGGATATCTTGGTTATAAAATAACGTTAATATTAAAACAGCTTGCCTTATGAAAACAAATATTTGTGTGAACAGCTCCCAAGAAATCATGCTGTGAACAAAAAGAATCATGAAACCAGAGAATAATTTGCATTCAGATTTGCTAAACAAAGAAATATCTGGTTTAACAAGCATTAAAGTACCTAAACTCTCGATTTCTAGTGTACCCACCATCTTGTGGGAATGTTGCCAGAGGATTTGAGGTTATACTTTGACAGGGAACTTCATCCTGTTGAACATTTCCTTTTGTGCTGGTGGAATGGTTGCAGTTGTGTAAGGATCTATCAGCTTTAAAAAAAGGATTTCTGTGGTGCCCAATAGGTTGTGTTTCTGTTGGAACAGATATGTATTCCCTCAATTTGATTTCCTATAGTGTTTTATTTCTTTTAAAATACTTTAATGGAAAGTATCTCTTTGGCTTTACCTGGGCTGCAAAAAAAATAAAAAAAATATTAAAAATCTGGACAGGGCTTATTTAAAACCAATCAAACTTTTAAAATTTTCTACATTTATCACAGTTGAAAAGTGGATTTAGGAAAAGCAGAGACACTTGACCAATTCTGTCATTGAATATGTGAATTAAACTTGCTGGTTTAGTTCAAGATAGATAGCAGGGCTTTAAATGTGCTCCAAGATGAGGTCTGTGAGCAAAAACTCTTAGAAAGTCAGATGAGCAAGAGTTTACATGACTTGAGGGAGTGATAACACTCCTCATGTGATCCTGCAAAGTAAACCTGAAACTTGCACAGATAAGCTGGCCAGACCTATTGATCTCTTGATCCAGGGGAAGGAGCCTCACAGGAAATGTGTTATCTAGACACACATGATTACAAAAAACACATTTTCCATCAGTTGGAGATGC